TAGACTATGGCTCATATGAGAAGCGCCTGTGAGGATGATTGTCAAGGACCCCGAAGAAGAAAGCATAAGCGTTTAGGGTTTAGGGTTTAGGGTTTAGGGGACCCCCAACAAAAGGACCCCGAAGAACAAGGAATAAGGACCCCCAACAAGATGGCATCATTTACAACCTGTGGTGGATCCATTTACCCTTGCAGGTATCATCACTCATATCTTGGCTCACATATAGAGGCCCAAGAAGGCATCTGAACACGGAGCCCCAAAAATGAACAACTTCTTTGTTGACGAAAGGCACCACTTCAAGGATACAGATGCATGTTCCCTAAACCCTAAACCCTAAACTGTAGTCAGAACAAAGTCCCAGGGCCCCCGCCCACGAGTGCTTCCACTCCCACTTCCGCATCCAATCCGCCAGGTTGCGATTTTCGTTGCAGTAGCCAAACCTTGCTAGGGCAAAGTGTTGTGCAGTTAGGGCGCGAGGTTCAAGTCAACCTTTGCATCTGGGTTTAGGATTAAAGTCCCGATTACGGGGCAGACGGGGGTAAGAGATGGACTTCCCAAACATACTCAACAACGTTGGATAGATCGCTCTTTCTTATGAGGGATCATGGGATCTCTATTTGCTATTCCTTCACGATTCCTAAGACATACTCCTCCTGTTGATACTTATCCACCGTCACATTACAAGGCTGGGTATCAAGCATTTCCGAGTCATAGGATATCCACACCGTATCGGGGTGGCCATGCTCTGAAGCTAATTGGGATTGTTTGCGAATGATGTACGGGCATGAACAATAAGAACGAACTTTGGGGGTACATGCTACTATAACTATATCAGGATATTGAGGGAACCATGCTGGCAAATCTTCCAACCTTTTTTCTACATTGCTCGTAGATCCTTGCGGTTCCCGACTTCTCCACGACTCTCAGGCTTTCTCCATCCAAGTCAAAGGAATCAAACCTGATCTCCAAGACTCCACAACCTCAGGACTCAGATTTAGGTTTGAGACTTATTTGTGCCTTGTTTAACCATATGGCTCTCAGACGGTCCCTGCTTGAAGCTCTCCTCAATAAAGACTAGAAGTCTACTTTGAGAAGCTTTTCTGCTCATGGTTCTCTCTTAAGAGCTTCTGCCAATCCTTCAAGGTCAACATTCTCCTCAACCATCAAAAAGGATCTCGGAACAGCACCCTCAAGCCCAAATCCTGAACCTTGAAACCTTTACGCAACACCCATACAATTACCATGTACCCTCTCCCAAGTATGCAACTCAACCCCAGAACTACTATGGCATAATAAGCCTCAAGAAGCCGTAACAGTTGACAGAACTCCAAAAACTTGGGACCCACGTAGCCAGGAGGCCTCTAGCAACCCCACAATAGTCGCAAAAGCCCTGCTTAAATCCAGGAGGCTCCTTGCAAGCAACTTCAGTGTTTGGATGCCGCTGACCATGAAACTGCACCTGTAGAGGGTGTAGGGTCCGGGGTTCAGGGTTCGGGGGTCTAAGGTTCACGGTCTAGGGCTCAGGCTTTAGGGTTAGGGTTCCGGGTTTAGGAAACTGGCTGAGGCTCAGTATTCAGGGTGCAGAATGGAAAATCAACAGGGGAACAGCATGGTCATTGAGAAGGAAAGCAGGGTTATACCAGGGCGGTATACAGATACGTGTATATCCTAGCAAAAACCACAATCGCGACCCTTAAAGATACTATTTGGAGGGCCATCTCCATCCCTTGACTGCAAACCGGCTCCCACCCCACCTCCAGGCGGAGGTCCATGCTCACGTTCAAGGCCTTAATCCAATCAACGGTCTGTGGACACCCCCCAAACCCAACTTAAGCCATTGTCAGATGGATTGATGTCTACCAAAGTCCACCCATCCGCCTTCCCCCCGCTACCCCCAAACCCTAAACCCTCTACCCACAAACCCTAAACCCTAAAC